AAAGAAAGAAAGAAAGAAAGAAAGAAAGAAAGAAAGAAAGAAAGAAAGAAAGAAAGAAAGACAAATGGAACAAACAAAAATTCAAAAATTATAAATCCCATCTTGAGAGGCATTTGTAAGGTTTAGAGTTAGTGAGAGTAAAGTATCTAGCTCGAGCATTTGAGATACAGGCATAGTAATAAGTGACAAGATCAGTAATAAATGGTAACATTCATGGATCTAGGTGTGTAAGTCAGTAATAGAGCATTTGCCTGCTATGACTGACTCTGGTTTCTGTGCCTAGTATTGAAGAAAAAAGGCTACCATTCTATGAGGTAGCTGCTTTTATTGGTATTTCTGTTTTGTAGATGACAAATCTGAAATTCAGGGGCATTATGAGTAAGTTAGCTGAACCAGGGTTTGAACTTGAGTGTATCTAACTCCAATATATTTGTCCTCAACTCTAAATGCTTTGAAGATCTGACAGAGCTGGCTCTAAATCTTGCTCCACCCTTTGGAGCTTTTTCAGGAGTGATGGAGGAATTGCTGAGAACTCATTTCCTATTATGGGAGAAAGATTTGCTTTGCAGCCAGATGACTTGTTTTCATCCAGGTTTTACCATTCACCAGCTCTATTACCTGGGCACATTACCTCACCACTTCAAGCCTTCATTATATCCTGTGTTGCAGGTGTGGTTCAGTGGTAGAGCATATGCTTAGCATTCTCAAGGCCCAGGGTTCAATCCCCACCACTACAGACACAAAGAAATGGGGAAATAAGATTCATGTGGTGCTGTGATGAATTGCTTGAGATAATGTCCATAAGTCTCATGGAAAAGTTCTAAGAAGGTAGTGATTATGATTGTTTCATGGTGGTGTTGGAAAAATTGAAAAGGACAGACACCAAATGCTAAGGTGGTGTTCCTTGAAGGAAAGGGTTGCGATGACAACCTGGGCAAATGGTGGGTAAGTGGATATAACTGGCACTTGTGTCTGGACTTGACCCTTCTTGTCTCACAGCCAGCGGTACTGTGTTTGTAACCCTGCCCTCGTACGCCAGTTCCGGAACCCAGATACCATCTTCATTCTTGCTTTTGCTATCATCCTCCTCAATACGGACATGTACAGCCCCAGTGTCAAGGCTGAACGCAAGATGAAACTGGATGACTTCATTAAGAACCTCAGAGGTGACCAGAATTTCCCATCAATTTTTCTTGCACGTCATCTGAGAAAAGAAAAGAGGGTAGGGATGGGAGTGGGAGGAGAGAGATCTCAGATGTCCTTATAAATTAGCCTTCTTCTATGCTGTCACTTTATCTCCTGGCTGGATGTCCCCAGGGCATTCACTTATTAATTCACTCAAATAGTTATTTGCCAGGTTGTGTGGGTAACTCAGTAGCTGAGTGCTTACCTAGCACATACAAATCTCTGAATTTGATTTCCAGCACTGCAAAGAAAAATAGTTGTTTGTCCATGTACTCACTCTCAGACCAATTATGTACTAAGTATTGACTCAGGCTATAGAATGTGACTGTGTCTTAAAAGAAACAGAACAAGCCAAGTATGGTGGCACATGCCTTTAATCCCAGAACTTGGGAAAAAGAGACAGGTGGATCCATGAGTTTGAGGCCACCCTGGTCTACAGAGTGAGTTCCAGGACATCCAGAACTACACAAAGAAACCCTGTCTAAAAAAACAAAACAAAACAAAACAAAACAAAACAAAAACCTGGCTCTTAAAACTGTTTTACTCAGTTCTCAGTCTCTGTCTCCTTGTCTTCCTATTTATCCCCACTAAGACTCATTTGATTATGTTAGATTACATTAGATACTTTATATACTTTTTCCTCCATTCACATATTCACTTAGCCAACCAACCACTCAGCCAGTTGACACTGGATGCTTAATGTATACCAAGTAAAAGGAGTACTAAGGACAATAGAGGGGAGTCTGCAATAGTCTCTGTTCTGAGAGCTCTTCTAGTCTGAGGGAGAGATTCAAATGTAGTGCCTAGATAACAACAGCAAGGCAGAAAGTGAACAATGATGTCAAAGAGGCCAAAAGATAACCAGAGCTCAGAGAAAGGAGCAGTCACCTCCTACTGATTTCCTGGAGGGTTTGTACTTTAAGGTGAGCCTTGAAGGTGACAGACTGAAAATGGAAGAGGGCTTACCTAGCAGAAAGAACAACATAGGTACAGAAGGAAGAAAATTTGAAGTTGTTTAGAAAAATAACTGAGATGAGGTAGATGAACACTTGGAAAGGTCAAATGGTCCACTATCTGAGATCTTCCAATGCTAGATAAATGGTGTCACCCTGATCTTTTCTTTTGGTTTATCATATTGATGTCAAACCCTAGCTTTAACCAAAGAGCAGCCTACTAAAATGGCACAAATATTACAATTACTTCAAAAGAAATGAAAGAGGGAAATAGAGATGGAGAGAACAAGACAAAGTTGCTGACTGTCGTAATTTATGTAGTTGAAGGATTTAAGCTGTCTGGTAGCTAAGATTAAAAAAAGGCAGAGGGAAGAAGAATGTACTTTTAGCATTTGTCCAAGGAAGAAGTATTTCCAAAGGAAACATCATTTTCCTAGCAGAGGTTTTAAAGAGAAGAGTGAGAAGTTTTCCTCAGCACACAGTCAAGAGTGGAGAAAGATGGTAGACTTAGGAAGGGGAAGTTAGATCAGAGGACACCTGGAGCTATTTGCCTTAATCTTGCCATTATTCATTCATCTATAATTGTATGCTTACCATATATAGAGTCAGTCCTCTATATCTGTGGGTTTTGCATCCATGAATTCAACCAACTGTAGATTGAAAACATCTGAAAAAAACAATAACAACTTGGATCTGTACTAAATATATACAATCTTTTATCTTGCCATATTCCCTAAATAATACAGTAAAACTACTGTTTGCATGGCATCAACATTGCAGTAGGTATTGTAAATAATACAGAGATGATTTAAAGTAACAGGAGCATATATGTAGGTTATATGAAAATACTACCTCAGTTTACAAGACCAACACCTTATCTTACCACTTGGCAAAAGTACTTGACTACACTATTTTATATATGAGATTTGAGCATCTTTGGATTTGGGTAATGATGGAAGATCTTTGAATCAATCTCCCGTGGATATGGAGGGATGGGTTTTATTTGTTTGTTTGTTTTTTGATATATAGGTTTCTCTGTGTAACAGCTCTGGCTATCCTGGAACTTTCTCTGAAGACCAACTCAGAGATCCACCTGCCTCTGCCTCCCAAGTGCTGGAATTAAAGGCGTGTGCTACCATCTGGCAACTCCAGTTTATTAATCTGGCTTAGAGGGATGAGTGTGTGAGTGAGTGTGTGTGTGTGTGTGTGTGTGTGTGTGTGTATAAAGTAGTACCTGATTGTCTTTAATTATAGTGTGTTGTAAGTTGTTTAGGCAAAATCCTTATCCTGGCTAAAAAAGTAATTGGCTGTTTTGTTGAGAGGCACCTTCCTGTCCCTTTCATAACTAAAAGAAAGACCAAGGATACCTACTCTCTTTTGCTAAGGTTCATTCCTGGGTATAGGGTGTTATGGAGAACCCTCTACTGCCTACCCTCCATATTAATGTGATATATTCCTTTGTTATATTTTCCACATAGGGGTTGACAATGGTGAAGACATCCCCCGAGACCTCCTGGTAGGCATCTACCAGCGCATCCAGGGTCGTGAACTGCGTACCAATGATGACCATGTGTCCCAGGTGCAGGCTGTGGAGCGCATGATTGTTGGCAAGAAACCGGTAAGTGCCTTTCGGGACTCCTATTGTGTGGCAAGTCTCTGGCCCCCCCTGAGCCCCAGATTCTCCTTACCTGTAAAACGAAGTGGGATATATGATATTCCTTAGGGATCATGGTGCAGATTATGGAATATTCTCCGTGTAAATGCATCTAGTATATTGCAAAGGTCATCACAGATTTGGTTTGAATATTTTCATTTTTCCTATGGTTTTGTCTGCCCAACCCAAGTAAGGGGAACCAAGCTAATATTAGCTAAGAAGCAGATATACTTTGGCCAACAAACATTTATGGATGTCTTACTACTGATACCAGCATTTTACTGGAATCCAGAAACACAGATGTGAATCAGACACAATCTCTGTCTTTAGGGGCACTCAAAGTTTAGTGAGATTCCAAGACAAAGACACAAATAATACTTCTGCCTCGTGGTCTACTTTAGAGGAACAAAAAGCAGGGAAATGCCATGGTAAGCCAAGGGAAGTCAGAAATGCTTCTTGGAAAATAACTTTGGAATTACAATGTGAAAGAGGAAGAAAATATGGCTGAGTGGGCAAGAAAGGCATTTCAGACAGAGGGTTTTAGAGAGAAAAAGGCAAGATGGCAGAAAAGCTTAAAGGACTTAGTTGTTTATATTTTTTGTGTCAGAGTGACAGATGTGCCTTATTAAGGTACCAGAGGCCTGGAACTGATGGGATGGCCTTGCTGACACCCATTTTTCAACATCTGTCCAGGTCCTGTCTCTTCCTCACCGTCGACTGGTTTGCTGCTGCCAGCTCTATGAGGTGCCAGATCCAAACCGCCCACAGAGGCTGGGGCTGCATCAGAGGGAGGTCTTCCTCTTCAATGACCTCCTTGTGGTATGGGCATTGTGCAGAAGGAAATGGGAGGGAGATAGTCAGCAAAGCTTCTGGGTTTAGTGCAAACCATGGTATGTGGAGTGTGGTTGGTATAGAGTGCTCTGGCATGTCATTTGCATTGTCTCCAGTAAGGCATAGCCCTTCTCTGCTCCTCCTTTTCCTTCATATTGCTGTAGTGATAGCCACACAAGAGACAGGGAATGTGAGCACAAGGGGGAAAATGATACACTTATAACCTGGTTAACGGTAGGAAATGTTCCGATCCACTGCAGTTGCACAGAGGGTTGTGAATCTGTGACCCTATGACTTTTTCAGTTGTCTTGCTGTTGGAAGTGATTAAAACAAAGCACATCACTGGTACAGCAGAGATACCATATTTTAGTGATGGGATTTATTAGATTCTGCAGAGCAGAAGGGATTTTCAGGATTTCCTGGGCAAGACCTACTCTCTAAGGTGCCTTAGCCCTGTTTGCTAGAATCTGTTTGTTTTTCTTAGGGGGTGGAAATTGGGGTTTAATTTTGTTTTTTAAATAAAGGGTATCACTTACTATATAGCTCTGGCTGTCTTGGAACTCATTACCTACACCAGGCTAGCCACAAACTCACAGAAATTCACCTTCCTCTGCCTTTGGAGTACTAGAATCAAAGGTATGTGCCACCACACCTGTCCGGAATCTGCCTCCTGATGTGGTTCACTTCTTACTCTATAAGTATTCTCCATCTGCTCTGAGACAGTACTCCAAGGATTTGAGAACAGCAATCTTGTTTCTTTCTTGGTCTTCTCTCATTAGCATTTCTCCATCTTGGCACTGTTGATATTTTGAAACAGACAATTCTTTCTTGCAAGGGCCTGTCTTGTGCATTGTAGTACATTTAGCAGCACTCTGGGATACCTACTAGAAGCCAGCAACAAGCCTTCAAATAAAATGTGTTCCACAGAGAAAAGCACAAAAAAAAAAAAAAAAAAAAAAAAAAAGAAAGAAAGAAAGAAAAAGAAAAGAAAAAAAAGGCAGGGGTAGGAGAGAACATCTTCTTCAGAGAAGAAAAAGTGGAAGGAACAAAAGAAAAGAATGCAGTGTCTTCTTCAGACGTTTTTCTGTATCTTGTGGAAGCAGAGGTCAAAATCATCTCCAGTTGAGAATCACCACTTTAGACAAAATACGTCTAACACTCTCTCCAAACCTTAGTTGCCTGCTTCACGAAATGGTGCTAACCCTTTATCTCCTAGTGTTGTCAAGAGGATTAAATAGGAAGTCAGTGCCTGGCAATACAATTCAGTAGTAGAGTGCACGCTTAGCATATGAAAGGATCTGGGTTCCATTCCCAGCAGTACAAAAGAGAAGAGGAGGAAGAGATACTCAAGTCTGAAGCCAGGTGTGCCTGGCCCACACAGGTGCTGAGTGTTAGATAACTTCTTTGCACTGACAACCCTGTGTGTCTAGCTCTATGCTAGACACTGAGTACATGGAGATAAGTCAGACTCAGTCCTTGTTCTCAGGGACTCAAAATCCAAAAGCCCTAAAATGTGTTTTGCAGCATGGTGTGGTGATACAATCTGTAATCTAAGCATTTGGGAGGTGGAGGCACAAAAAACAGGAAGTTAAGGTCAGACTGAACTGCATGATAGAGGCCTTGTCTCAACCACCACACCACACCACTGCCAAAAAGTGTTTGGCACCATTGTGCTGTGTCACCAACCTAAACCAAATGTGTGTTTTAAGAGCCATTTGTAGAGGTTGAGGCTTTACCTTAGTGATAGAGTCTGGACCCAGGTTTCATCCCCAGCATACAAAATAAATGGAATGTTAGCCACTTGCAAATTGTCCAAGCTTATGTTAGTAGAGAATCTAAAATGTCTAAATACTGCGCTTTACCTCTGACCTTGGGTTGTTGATCCTGTTCATAGGCTAGGCAGAGGTTGCCATTATAAGCTACCTCTGGATGGTGGGAATTTGGGTTAAGTGAGAAAACTTGAAAACCACCCAGTGGTCTCTTGGCCAACAGGGGCCAATCACATATTCAGAACTACCATAGAGTCTGACAAGGGAAAGGTTTAAAACCAGCACCCTGGAGGCGCAGAAGATGGAAATGGAAATTTGTGTGAGAGCCGGGCCTTCAGTCCCAGCACTCAGGAGACAGAGGCAGGTGGATCTCTGTGAGTTTGAGGCCAGCTTGGTCTATAAATCAAGTCCAGAACAGCCAAGGCTACACAGAGATACCCTGTCGAAAGGAAGGAAGAAAGAAAGAAAGAAAGAAAGAAAGAAAGAAAGAAAGAAAGAAAGAAAGAAAGAAAGAAAGAAAGAAGGAAGGAAGGAAGGAAGGAAGGAAGGAAGGAAAGAAAGAAAGAAAGAAAGAAAGAAAGAAAGAAAGAAAGAAAGAAAGAAAGAAAGAAATCTATGTGAGGTACTAGGACAAGCTTCCTGGAGGTACCAGCATTCATTTAGTTGCTTTAGAAGTTGCAAATGCTGGTTGTGCATGGTTATGATGTCACAATCTTGCATTCTCTCCCACCTCTCTGTTCCTTAAGTTTCAGTTCTCCTTTGTGGGTATATGTGCTCATATGCATATGCCTTTTACTGGGAATAGGTGGGGAAGGTGGTTACTAGAAATGGGTATCACTTGCAAAAATCCCCACCCTCAATCCTGCCTCTTATCTTTTTCCACCCATGTTTGCCAAAGGTCACCAAAATTTTCCAGAAGAAGAAGATCTTGGTGACATACAGCTTCCGTCAGTCCTTTCCCCTGGTGGAAATGCACATGCAGCTCTTCCAGAATTCATGTGAGTCCCCTCTTGAACCCTAGCATGCATCCCAGGGGCTTACCAGAGCCCATGCTCATCCTTCATGCACACTAGCTTCCAGCTGTCCAAGTCCTCTACAGCTGGGTTCAAGTCCCCAAAGTATCTACTGGTCCAAGGCTTAAAGGAAGACTAGAATGGAACGTGGTTTGGGTGTGGCCCCTGGAGAGCACAGAACAGCGATGCTTGTGTATTCCTTAGTGGCAGAAGAGGTGGCAGTCACACTGTACTTTGAATGACTGTACTGTGGAGAGCAAGACTGGGTGTCATTCAAGAGAACAGAGTCTTCATGGGAGGCAGAGGGACAAAGGAAAAGGTTTCTAGAAAGGAGATCAGAATTTTCTTTGCCTTTACATCCTGGAGTATAAGTAATAAGGTTGCCATGGTTACCAGGGGTTTGGGGACAAAAGGAATCCACTGAAGATTTTTAAGCACAGAAAAGGCATTTCAGAGTTGGATGTTACAGAAATCATCTCCAAGATGGACATGTGTGCCTATAGGAACAGTATTTCACAGGCACAGACAGAAAAGTTACTTGAGCCCAGGAGTTTGAGACTAGCCTAGCCAAAACAGCATGACTGTCTCAGAGATGGTTGGCAACAGTGGGGAGGGAGTTGTGTCATTTCTCAGTTTCTTGTCTTAGGCACTTTGCTTCAGACTTGGCAGAAATATTCAGCTTTTCCTGTCCTCTCTCATTGCTGCAGATTATCAGTTTGGGATCAAGTTACTGTCTGCTGTACCTGGAGGGGAACGAAAAGTCCTCATCATCTTCAATGCTCCTAGCCTCCAAGACAGGCTGCGCTTTACCTCTGACCTGCGGGAGTCCATTGCTGAGGTGCAGGAGATGGAGAAGTACCGTGTGGAATGTGAGTAGCTACAGCCATGACTCCTTACCTCTCTCCTGATACAGTGTCCCTACAGACACCAAGAATACTGTCATCTGAGAACCATAGAGTTGAGGGCTAGCTTGCCCAAACTTCCTACCCTTGTTCCAGGAACCCTTTAGCTTCTGCCTAAATGCTTTTAGTGACAAGAAAGTCATTACTTCCTAACCTCAGATTATTCCAGTCATTGACAGTCTATGCTGTGGCCTCCAAACCCATCCTCTAATCATGAGCTAATTCTTCCTTCTATTGAACTACTAGTATCAGGGAGAAGATTCAGGGCATAGATTTCATGTATGCTACTTGTTATCTGGGCAAACTTGAGTGCCTTCTGTGGCCTTCTGAACCCTTTGTTCAAATGAAACAAGGATAAAGAAACCACAGAGTTTGACAAGCAGCCAGGCATACTGGTTGCACACCTGTAATGCCAGCACTGGTGAGGCTGAGGCAGGAAGATTTCAAATTCCCAGGCAAGCCTTGACCACGTATTGAGTCTCTGTCACAAAGAGCGGGGAGGGAATGAAAGAGAAGAAGTGATAGAGAAGGTGAAGATGAAAGAGGAAAAAAAAGAAGAGAAGAGAAGAGAAGAGAAGAGAAGAGAAGAGAAGAGAAGAGAAGAGAAGAGAAAAGAAGCAGATGACAAAGTGCCCCAGTGCATCCATGGTGTTAAACAAATACCATTCCCTGTCTCCTCTTCTCTACCCAGAAACAGTTCCTGAGCTGAGGTTCAATTCACTCCCCATGGGCTACACCAAGTTAGCTTGCTCATATACAATGGAAAATAGTAATTATTTCTCATTTTTCCTAATGCCTTCCAGGTTTTCTCTTTTCTAAGCTAAGCAGTCCCAGTTAAGTAATATGACATTGAGAAGAAAGAAGGCAGAGAGTAGTCAGTTCCTTGATAAGTCTTCATTGAGGAGGAATATCAGTTCAGTAGATTTTGGAGCCCCTGGGAAAGTCAAGAGGTTACCCATATCAAGAGAAGGAGAGGCCTGGTAGATCAGAGTTTCCCTGACCTCACTGAAGGTATAGGGGGCCCAGACCTGCTTCTAGAATGTTGGCTTCACAAATTTCAACTCTCTGCCCCTGAGCAAAATCTGTGACGTCTCAAATTTCTCAGCTTCTTCTTCTGCATAGTGTAGATGATGCTCATAATGTGGAAGGAGGGGGATCAAGTATATGCTGCTCCCTGCATACTGCCTGGCACACAATAAAGGATTTGCTTCCAATCAGTTTCATGTCCTTGCTCTTGCATCTTGCTCTTGCATCAGAAGCAAGGCATCTGAGAACTTGTTGAACTTTGAAAGGGCTGGCCTTCACTGTAGGCTAGAAGGGCTTTCCCATCCTTATTGTGAGCCATCTGTTGCAAAGCTCTTGTTTAAAGGGCAGGGGTGTTTAAGGAGGCCTTTCTACGAAAGGGTAAAGAAATGAAGGATAAGAAGATGGAAAAGGAGGAGGGAGAGTAGACACTTAAAATTTCCTGGAGGGAGGAAAAGGAAGGAGTACGTGGCATGGGATGGGATGGGCACCTAGGAGCTTTGAGGATAGAGTTGCACTTTAGGGAAAACAAGTATGACTTGAGGGTAGGGGTTTGGCAGGAAGCCTGGGAGCCAGAAAGAGGGAGGAAAATAAAGGAAGACTGTAGTCAATCACATGGGCTCTTAATGCTTTTTATTTTTATTTTTTTTAATCTTTGTCCATTTTCTTTACTGCTACCCAGCGGAGCTGGAGAAGCAGAAAGGTATGATGCGGCCTAATGCCTCACAGCCTGGAGGAGTCAAGGACTCAGTCAATGGGACTCTGGCCCGCAGTAGTCTGGAGGACACTTATGGGGCAGGCGATGGGCTCAAGCGGGGTGCACTCAGTAGTTCCCTGCGAGACCTCTCTGATGCAGGTAAGTGTTCTGGGCCCCTGCCCTGGCTGGGGAGATATGGGACCAGGTGACCTCTTTGCCTCCTATCACTGGCTGTCAGCCTTCTTCCATCACTCAGACAGACAGACAGACCAGACAGACACACACACACACATACACACACACAAACAACATTCAGAGCCCTGGGCACTATGCCACAGGGGGGCTTGGTAGCCAGGTCAGAACAAGTGGGGCCCAGGGTTTCTGCCAGGGAGTATAAAGTGGGGCCATGGACTCAGCCCCTCTCCTCTTTTCCCTCTTCTGTTTCTCCTTTACTGCCTCTCCTCCATCTTTTCCTCCTTTCTTTCCTCCTTCTCAACCTCTCTTCCTCCCTACCTCCCCCTCTTCAATGGGGGAAAGGGGTAATGGGGTGTCTGTCCCTGGGAGGGACCTAGGCCTGGTGCCCAGCTCTGGAGCCCAGCAGGGTGGGGAGGGAGGGTTGCTGCTCTGACGCTGGGCTCCTTGCTTGTGGGTGCAGGGAAGCGGGGGCGGCGTAACAGCGTGGGATCGCTGGACAGCACCATCGAAGTAAGTGTCAGCTCCTGCCCCATCATTTTCTGCATGAGCCCTGCCCTGGCTGTGGAGCCCCAGAGGAGGAGGGGATCTGTTGCCTACCCCTCTTCTGTGCTGGAAACCATATGGCTGCCTCTCCCAGCCAACCACTTTCTCCATCTGTCCTCAACTCTGTCTGTCCTCACTCTGCCTGTCTCTCAGTCTGTCTTCCACTCTCCCATGCCCCTTCTCAATCCCAGGCCAACTCCAAATAGGGATGCCCTTGGACTTGGGCTTCAAGAAACTTTAACCTCCATATCCTGCTCTTTGTTCCTGAGCGAGTCATTCTGCCTCTCTAGGCCTAACATTTTCTTGGCCTGGGAAATGGTCAGGAAGTCCTACTGATTCTTCCTCTGCCCTCTGAGGTTCAACTGAGGTAGTAGATATGGCAACAGAGCTGGGGAGCAGAGCTGGCCACAAATACAGGACTGCTGTTTGATATTTGCTGTTACTTTGGCATCCCTGTTGCTCCAGCTTCAGGAACAGGGGTGGAGTTTAGGGTTGGGGGTTTAGGATATTTAGACTGGCCTGACTTCCCCTCCTCCCCCCTTTCAGGGGTCTGTTATTAGCAGTCCACGCCCTCACCAGAGGATGCCACCTCCGCCCCCACCCCCGCCGCCAGAGGAGTACAAGAGCCAGAGGCCAGTCTCCAACTCCTCATCTTTCCTGGGCTCCCTATTTGGAAGCAAGAGAGGCAAAGGGCCCTTCCAGATGCCACCACCGCCAACAGGCCAGGCTTCTGCCTCGTCTTCATCTGCTTCCTCCACCCACCACCACCATCACCACCACCACCATGGTCACAGCCATGGTGGCCTGGGGGTGCTACCTGATGGGCAGTCTAAGCTCCAGGCCCTGCATGCCCAGTACTGCCAAGGACCGGGCCCTGCCCCACCACCCTACCTCCCACCCCAGCAACCCCCTCTGCCTCCACCCCCTCAGCAGCCTCCACCCCTGCCCCAGCTCAGCTCCATTCCACCACCACCTGCCTCAGCCCCACCTGTGGGGCCACATCGACACTTCCACACCCATGGCCCAGTTCCAGGACCCCAGCATTATACTTTGGGCCGGCCAGGCAGAGCCCCAAGACGAGGGGCTGGAGGACACCCACAGTTTGCTCCACATGGCCGGCATCCCTTGCACCAGCCCACATCCCCATTACCACTGTACAGTCCTGCTCCACAGCACCCTCCTGCCCATAAACAGGGCCCCAAGCACTTCATCTTCAGTCACCACCCACAGATGATGCCAGCATCGGGTGCAGCTGGGGTCCCTGGGTCCCGACCACCAGGGGGATCCTATTCCCACCCTCACCACCCCCAATCACCACTGTCACCACACTCACCCATCCCACCTCACCCCTCGTACCCTCCCCTGCCTCCACCCTCTCCTCATACCCCACATTCACCCCTACCACCCACCTCCCCCCATGGCCCACTGCACGCCTCTGGGCCCCCTGGCACGGCTAATCAACCCAGTGCAAACCCCAAGGCCAAGCCAAGCCGGATCAGCACTGTGGTCTGAGGAATGGAATACGTGTACTGAGGAACAGGACAGTCTGGGGAAATCTACAAGAGAGGGACCTTGCTCCTCTCTTCTTCCTCAGTTTTTTTTTTCAAATTATATATACACTCAGCAGTGTCCTTCTTTCCATTTCTTTCATCTCTCCAGACCCTTCTTCCAGCCCCCTAGCAGTTGCCATGGGGTTTCCTTTCAAATTGGAGGGCCCTTGCCCCTTGCAGCCTGAACTTAGGGCACTGCAGTGCTGGGAAGTGGTAAGGGCCTCTCAGCAGTTCTTGTCCTCCTTTTCCTGTCTTCCTCTTCTCTTTTCTTGTCCCTGGAGGTCTAGTTGGTGGCCTCAGACCTCTGGGCAAATGTGAGCTTCCTTGCAAGCTGGTGGAGAAGGCAGGCTTCTAGAGCTGTAGAGGTGAAGGCTTTCCCCAGAGCTCCTCTGGCTGTGTGGGGCTAAGAGAGAGCTCTGTAGAGCTGTGGCCAAACCTCAGCTGGCTCAGCCCTCTCTCTGACCTCAGGACCTAGCCGCACACCTCCATGTGTCTTTCTGCCTGCTGGAGGACACATGAGACCGTCAGTGCACTCCGTGGGTGGAACCTTGCTTGTGCTGGCCCCTACAGAGGGCAGTGCTTCCTCTCTTGAGCCAGTCTGTGCCCTCTCTCCTAATAGGACCCCAGCCCAGACCTCTTTGGCTTCAGGAACTTGCCTTGCCCTGCAATGTTCTTATCCTGATTAAAGTCCAGAAAGGTTTTTGTTTTGGAGGTGGGAGTGGGGTGGGGAAGGAGGCTCAGGTCTGGGATGAGAAGGGTACTGCCCTCCCTCACCCACATTGCATGCCCCCCATTCCTTCTATTTTTCCCACCTACAACTAAAGACAATGCACTTTACAGATATCTCCCACACATATCTCACTAGGGCAGGGCACCCAGCATCAGCCCTGGGGAAAGACTCCCAGAGGACCATCGTGAGCCCAAGATGTCCTCCCTGAGGCAGAGATTGAAGCCATCAGAGCTGGGGCTGTGAGCCAGAATGCCCAAGCCCCTCTTGTTCATCAAAATCTCCACTGCCTCGCCAGCCCTTTGCAGCCCTGTTTATTTCTTATAAATATATTTTTTACAAGGCCCAGCTCCTCTTCTTGCCCTACATTCAGCTCCTTTCACAGTCCCTGCCTTTCTCTCCCCAGTCCAGAATGGGCTGCAATGCAGACAGACAGATGGACTCTCTATGTCAAAGGGTCCCTGGGGCTTGGGGTTGTGGGACGGTGTTGGTGGGAAGGACTCTATGGAGAGGAGCTGGGGTTCAGGCATTGTCTTTTTTCCCTCCTTGTATATAAGAATGTATATTTGATGCCTCATAAAAGACCTTGTGCTCACCTCTGGCCTCTGCCTCCTACTTATGTCCTCTTCGCCCACTGTGAAGCCCATGGAGAGAGGAGCACAAAGCAAGATGAGGGTGGGTTTCCCATCTCATTTCATATGTTTTCTGCATGATGGTGGCAAAAGTGTGGGACTTGGGGTTGATAAGTTCACATTCTGAGGTTTTACTTAGGCACAAGTGTTTCAGGGAGTCAATCTCCAAGTTTTCCTTACTTCAGTTTACCACTTGAAATGATCTCTTTTTGTTATGCTGTGGAGGAACATGAGCTTACAACCTGTGCTCCAAAGGTTCAGCCACTTTTCTTCAATAAGCCAATTAAAAAAGACAAATTAAAAGCAGAAAGCAGAACAAGCATGTGGTGGTGGTGCACATCTTTAATCCCAGAACTCAAGAGACAAAGGCAAGTGGAGCTCTGAGTTCGAGGCCACTGCGGTCTACAAAGCAAGTCTAGGACAGCCAGGGCTACACAGAGAAATCCTGTCTTGAAAAACAAAACAAAAAGTGAAGAGCAGAAAAGAAAAGAGACATTTATTCAATGTGACCATATTGGGAAGAGGGACAAAGTGATCTAGAAAAACCCACAAATATGTCTTTAGGGTCCTGAAAAGAGGGCAGAATATTTAAAAAGTGCCAAAAATAGGCAATACGTGGTCCCAGGCACCATCCTTGTCTGGGCTTCAGTTTCATCCTATAAGGAGGTTAGAAGTGGGTGAAATCTTTTTTCCTGGAGACAAGTTCCCCTTGTGGCCTGAGATTCCTGGCAAAATTCTCTTTCTTAGGGTCCAGTGTTTCAATAATCTGATCGTCTCCTTAAAATGTTCAGGCTGGAGACATAGCTCAGAGGTTAAGAGCACTTTGTGTTCCTGGAAGGTGCTGGAGTTTGATTCCCAACCACCACATGGTGTCTCACAACTGTTGATAACTCCACAACTCTAAGGGACCCAACAGAGTCACTTGCACATACTCACATATATGGATACACACATATACATAATTAAAAATAAATCCCTTAAAGAAGAAGAAGAAGAAGAAGAAGAAGAAGAAGAAGAAGAAGAAGAA